ATGCCTTTTCCCCAGGACTTGTCCTTCCTAACGCTGTGCCCAATGTGTGTAAGACAAAAGTTTCACTGTCCTTGCCTCCAAAAAGCACCCTGGTTGCACTCCCTCCAAGACAGATTTATCATGTTCCTGTGTGCATCAAAACCTTTTTCTAGTAGGGTGAAAAGAAGGCCTACAGACTGAGAAGGAAAAAAAAATCATCTGTCAGTGGCATTTCAGACAAGGACCTCATAACAAAAGTTTACAGAGTACTACAGGGCACCAACAAGAAAAAAACTGGCAACCCAATCAATCAATCAATCACTAACTAACTAACTAACAAAATGGGGGAAAGACAGGAAAAGATTCTTCACGAGGGAAGACATTTGATGGCCAACAGACGTAAGAGGAAATGTTCAGAATCACTGGAAATCAGTGACATGTGTATCAAAACATCAGTGACATACCATCTCACCCCAGTAGCAGCAGCGATGTTTAACAAGACAGCAAGCAATAAAATCTTGGAGAGAATGTGGAGAGATTGGAATTTACATGCACTGCTGGTGTGAATGTAAAATGGTACAGCCAGTCTGGAAGGCAGTTTGGCATTTCCTCAAAAGGCTGAACGTAGAAATACCATATGGCCCAGATATTTCACTACTAGAAATATACTCTGAGAAAATCAGGATTGAGACATGAACAGAGATATGTACACCTATGATGATAGCAGTGTTATTCACAATGCACAAAAATGGAAATAGCCCAATGTCCGTCAGCATATTTGTTTTTTTTTCATTCACACAGTATAATACTATGCAGCAGTAAGAAACAATTATTTCATAAAATACTATATAACATTGGAGAGGCTAGAGAATATTATGCTGAGTAATAGAAGATCAAGTACTTCATAAGACCATTGTGAAAATAGAATATCTGAATGAGATGTGTATGAATGTTTAAAATGGGAAGGGGAAGGAGAGAAATCACAAGCATAGCAGAAGTTGGTGAGTGGATGGGAGCTGAAGGAGTAGGAAAGATTCAGTATGAAATTGAAAAGACATGGTGATAATAGGCATAGATCAATAGTAATTATATAAAATACAGTGTATATGAATGATTGTATAAAACACAATGCACTTGAACAAAATAATATAAATAAAAGATTGTGTAAAATACACTGCACATGCATGAAACAATATATATGAATGATTATATGCAAACCAATATAACAGGGAAAATAGATTTGTTTTATTGGCAGTCCATGGGATATTTAATATCTTTACCAGCATCACAATTCAAAGGCACTGATTCTTCTTTAATTTTTTTTTTTTTTCTGTTTTGCAACATTCAGGCACATAGGAAGCAATTGAAGATACCCTGGCTTGAAGCAGGAGCGTGCTAGTCTTTAAATGGATAGTCTTGCTCTTTGGGACTTTAACAAGGTCCTTTACAGATTTCTTTAATGCAGCACATCTTTTGATTTCTTGATGGGTGTTAATTATGGGTCTAAGTAAAATGAAGTGGCTGATAAATTTTTCTCCATCTATCATGAAGAAGACTAAGGTGCGCCTGATACAGGCCATGGTCTTTGCAATCGCTTGTTATGCATCAGAGTGTTGAACAATGACTAGGGAGGACAGAAGGAGAGTTGATGCCTTTGAGCTGTGGTGCTGGAGAAGAGTACTGAATGTACCATGGACTGCCAGGAAAACAGATTTATCTTGGAGAGGATTAAACCAAGCTACTCCTTGGAGGCAAGGATTCTGGGGCTTCATCTGACATACTTTGGACATGTTGCCAGGAGGGATGGGTCCTTGGAGAGGGACATCATGCTTGGGAGGGTGGAGGGACAGCGCATGAGGGGAAGACCCTCTATGAGATGGATTGATTCGGTGACTGGGGTAATCGGGATGGGTGTGTCAGAGGCAGTGCGGTTGGCGCAGGATAGAGCAGGGTTTAGGGCTGTTGTACATGGGGTCGCTATGAGTCACAAACCACTCGACGGCACATAACAACAACAACATCATGATGTTGCCTATTGGTCCAGTAATGAGGAGTTTTATCTTCTTGATATTAAGATGCAACTAATATTGAAAACTGTGGTCTTTGATCTTTAACAAGTGCTTCAAGTCTTCTTTACTTTCTGCAAGCAGGGTTGTGTCATGTGCATAATGCAAGTTGTTGATGGATCTTTCTTCAATTATATTGATGCCATATTCTACACAAGTATAAAGGTTAATATTTCCACACATTTTAAGAAGACATAATTCAATCTATAACATTTTTATGGCTTAGTGTCCACATAGGGTAGGGCACAGAGATGGTAGAACTCAGCAATACCAGTACTCCTGGAGCAAGTGAGATGAGGTGTGACTCTTATCTCATGAAGGTAAAGATGAATAACTTCCAAAAACACAACCTTTCCTAGTAGAGTTTATTTCCCTTTTAGGTCCTTACCAAAAAATGTCATCTAACATACTAAAGAGTCCCATGTAACTGTTAAATTCTGGTGGCTTAGTGGTAAGAATATGCATTGCAATTTCATGAGGCACACTGTTCGAATCTACCAGCTGCTCCACAGGAGAAGGATGGACAGTCTCCCCTTGTCCAATTAACTGTCTCTGAAAGCCCACTGGAAGGTTAGCTATGGGTCAGTTCTGACCTAATGGTATACCACAGCAACACAACATACTCTACAAGACCTTAGACCTTACTTAGAATGGTAGGGACTATTGACTGTTCCATTCCTGTCATTTAGTCATATGGCTGTCAGTGAATACTGAATTGATTGTGAATATTGAATGGTGAATTATTATCCTCAACAACCCTAAAGTATCTCTGGCAGCCTAGTAGTAAGAAGGTACACTGCAATCCCAAAGGCACAAAGTTCGAATCTGCCAGCTGTTCTGTGGAAGAAGGATGGCAGTCTCTTCCTATGTATTTAACTGCCTCTAAAACCCAGTGGAGAGTCAGGTCTTAGTTGGTTCCGACTCCACAGCACACAACAACAATCTAATAGTAAGTCCAGCAACTAATTAACACAGACCATTTCTTTGTGCTGTAATTAGGCTGTGGCAATAATACATGAGTAGAATTCAAAGGAAGAACTGTTTAGTGAAAAACGTCATCTTCTTGACTTTTTCCCTAGAGCCTCAGCTATTTTCCTGAGAAAATATCATTGTCAAGTTTCAAGTACAGACTTCCAGAAAGAATCTGTAATTAACCAACCTGTTACTATCTAGTTGACATCAGCTCATGATTACCTCGTGTGCATCAGAGTAGAACTATGCTCCACATGGTTTTCAATGCCTGATTTATGAAAATAAATTGCCAGGTATTTCTTCCAAGGCTCCTCAGGGTATGCCTAAATCACCAGTCTTCTGATTAACAGCTGACTATATTAACCATCTATATCACTATACAGCTCGTTTAAATATACAGTTAAATTTGAGAGTTTTTTTAGATTACAGTTTTTAATGAAAAAGAAAAACTCCTATTGTTCTTCTCTTAACTACAACTTCTGGGTTTGTTTTAGAGGTGTGAGCACTTTCTTTGTAAAAAATAAGGTTGTCTTGCACCTGGTAAGAATGCATTTGGCATTCCAAACGCTTTGTGACAGACTGCCTGTTTTGTTCTAGGCTGTGTGCAAAATGTAAAATAGCAGAGGTGAATTGGGAAGACCCTGCCCTTAAGTTGGAGCCCCGAGGTGATGCAAATAGTTAACATCCTCATCTGAAGTTTAGCAAGTTCATCAGAGAAACCTTGGAAGAAAGCCTGGTGGCCTGTCCATTGACAACTCTGGGTGTCACAAGTCTACTTTGACATACAAGCAGCCACTATGAAGTTGGAGTTAGCTTCATAGCAACGAGATTGGCGGAGGGGTGTTGTTTTATGGGGTTTTGTTTTTGTTTTGGGGGTTTTTTATGAAACAAAGACATCTCAAGATACTCCCCATCTCCACCAGACCCTTAATAAGATGATCATTAAGGATGATGTTGCATGAGCAGTAATGGGGTTATCTTGTGGATCCCTGGGGAGGAGGGACCCTGTGCTGAGCCCCTGGTGGAGAGCAGTCAGCTATGCAGAGGGGAAGAGCATGGAGCAGCTGGGGACCACAGGCCTTTCTGTGTTGCTTCAAGCACAGAGGAGGTGGTAGCAAAGCAGAGGCCTTTGAATGCTCCTTTAGAAAGTGTGAACTTTACCCTGTAGGTTTTCAGTAAATATTTGTGTGTGCTAATGAGCTCACTTTGCAGTTGTTTCTGCTGTCAAGACAGATGCTTAGTGTTAGAAGTTTAAGCCATTAGGAGTCACTCAGCCCCTGCTGCCCTCCCATGGAATGGCATTAGAAGTGCCTGGAGCCTGTTTCTCAGTCCAGCAACACCTGGGTACTGTCACTCAGACATGAGAAGGAAATCTGCCTGAGGAGGAGGGTGTTGCCCTGTCTTAGCAGGGCGAGGGTGCTTGCTGAAGGGTGCAGAGGCGCCCAGCATGACCACCACTGATGGAGTTGCCAGAAGTTAGTACAGGTGACTCTACACCCGTCTCCTCTAGGATGAGACCCCTCAGTACACTTGCTATAAAACTGAGGCAGGAGAAGATGGACAGTGACTTCTCATCCTCTGCCTGGACAAGAGTTCAAGGCCTTAGGGCCCCAACCAGTCTTCTTTAGGACAAGTGGCTACCTGCCCATTATATGACCACTATATAGGTGGCCTCTAGAGGAAGAGACTCACCTTGTGTCAGCTCCATCATGTTGCCAAGAAGCTGGTCTCATGGTAACAGTTGCTTCCAAGGAGAATAAGATCTCCCTTGACTTCCTCCTTGGTGTTGGTCTCACCCAGTGTGCCTCCAGGTCACCAGAGCCTGCCTGGGCCCGCCCTGAGGTCTTAATCCTCCTGTCCTGTTAGGTCCCCTTCTGACAGCCACATGTGGGGTCTTTCGATCTTTCTGGCCTCATCAGACTCCTATTCAGTTGTGACTATCACTGACTTCCTTTTCATGTCTTATTTCCTGTTGTTTTCCAGGCTCTCCAGAGTAACCTGAAGTATTCCCTGTTGCCAAAGCGGCTGATTATCAGCAAGCGATTAGCTCAGTGCTTGCACCCAGCCTTGCCCAGTGGCGTGCACCTGAAAGCCCTAGAAACCTACGAGATTATCTTCAAAATAGTTGGGACCAAATGGTTGGCCAAGGATTTGTTTCTATACAGGTACAATCGCTTCTCTTGTCTGGTTGCCTTTTTTATTACCGTTGTAATATACTCAGATTCTATTTCACAAGATTGCGAAAGGTAGCAGATGACCATAAAGCCATCACGGAGAGGTAACCAAGGCTCGTCAGGAGTTTATCCTTCCCAGCTCTCCTTTAAATGTGCTTTATAGGAGTTTAATGGCCATGCTGTTTAGTTATCTGCTGTTTACTTAACAGTGTGTTGGGACCACTCCATGTCAAACAGCCACGTTAAGTGACTCTCCGTTTGCTTTTTAAAACTCCCTGCAGCTGGATCTTTTGGAACTTCTGATTTGAGGTGTACCTATTTCCTAGTGCTGCTGGTGTAAGATACAGGCCTACCTCACTTTGTGACTCTTCACAGATAATGTGGGGGTTTTTGGTTAGTTACTTGGTGAGCTATTTTTCAACAAATTGAAAGTTTGCAGCAAACTTGTGTTGCGCACATCTCTTGGCATCATTTTCCCAACAACATGTGCTTACATTGTGTGTCTGCATCAGAGTTTGGTAATTCTTGGAATCACCAAACTTTTTTCATAATGCTTTTGCACACTTAATAGATTACAGGGTAGTGTAAACCGTCCTTCACACTCACTTACTCATTATTGTCCAGTCTGATGCAACTCACAGATGCCCCTCCAGCAGGTTTTCAGGAGCTGGCCCATCCTTCTCCCTTGAAGCTACGGGTGGATTTAAACTGAGAGAGGCTCCGTGTCTGGGTTAGGAGCACAGCCCCCTGCACCAGAGCACCCTGAACTAAGGAGTTTGATATGCCCTGGGAATCAAAACAATTCACGTGACTCCCTTTTTGGTGATGTCCTCCTTGTTGCTGTGGTGCGAGACCAAACCCAGAATGTCCCCAAGGTACATTTGGACCACAGGGTGGCTGACCTGAATGAACAGGAGTTCACTAGAAGTCCACATCTGGGTCCTGACCATGCCGATCCTCCTGAGAGGTTGAGGCAAGATGAACTGCTCCATGGCTCCCTCCCAGATTCAAAAAACCACATTTTTTTGTTTCTAGCAGCGTCAGGCAGCCTTGGCATTCTGTTACTTGACTGCTTGTAGACCTAGCTTCACATGACTTCTTCCCACTGGATATTTGGTCCTGTCTCCATTTATAAATCACCATGCAGAAGGGATTAGGATTAAAGCCCACCCCACTCCAGTATGATTTGATTTAACTGATGACCTCCTCAAAGCAAGACCCTGTTTTCCCAGACAAGGTCACATTCACAGGCACAGGGGTTAGGAGTCCAGCCTGTCTTTTGGGGGACACCTAACAGCATGTTTTGTTTTCTTTTTCTCTCTCTGCCAGCTGTGGGCTGTTTCCTCTCCTGGCAAACGCAGCCATGTCGGTGAGGCCTGTGCTCCTAGGCCTATATGAGAAGTACTTCCTCCCACTGCAGAAATTGCTCCTGCCCAGCCTGCAGGCCTTCATCATTGGCCTGCTGCCAGGCCTCGAGGAGGGCTCCGAGATCTATGACAGGTGGGTGTGCGTCTCACCCTGCGCTCAGGCCTGTGTCCCATGGGTGCAGCTCAGAAGAGTAGATGGGCAGGTGAGGCATCTTGCTTTTAATTCTATTACCAGTTGCTCCTATCTATCAGAGCAGAATTGTGTCCTGTAGGACTTTTTTTAAAAAGACATTTAGTTATTTCATTTTACCTTATTATTGCGATAAAAGATAAACCATAAAACACATCTATGATTTAGTGATATTGAGTATACTCTTCAAGTAGCACAACCCTTTTCCAAATTGTTCTGCGGACATTAACATAAATTCAAAGCCCAGAAGCACATGCTTCCCCCTCTTCCCTCCTTCCCACCTCTAGTGGCGACTGGTGGCCTGTGGTGAGGAGCTGCCGTGCTGCTGATCCCAGTCATGCAGTTCTAATCCACCAACAGCTCTCAGGAGAAAGGCAGTTTACTCTGGAGGGTCAGCTATGAGTCGATTCTGATTCAGCAGTAATAAATCAGTCAGTAAGGGACTGTGTATGTTACAAGAAGTGTAAAGATATGGGAAACATGAGAAGGTAGAGAAATAGGTGGGTGGTTTGTGTTTCTACAATGTTCTCTACTTGGCACACAATTTATGTTCTCTTGGGAACCTCATTGCATCTCATTTACCAGAAGGGAGCTCTCATTTCTAGAGAGAGTGAATGCTTTACCTAGAAAAGTTTAGCTATTTAGGGAGGAAGTAGCATGCAGCTCACTCTACCTTGTCCTGTCCCACTGTGGGTTCCTCATGTTGTCATTTTATGGAGGACACAGAGTTGAAATTATGAATTGTTCCAGTGACTTTTTAGAGGAAAATCAAGAGCACATTTATTGGGCATTTGCAGTACATGCAGTGCACATCCCCACATCTGATTCTTGTGTCCTAGGAATTATCCCCATTCTATAGGTGGCAGTCAGAAGTTAGGGAAGCTTCCCAGGGTCATATGGTCAGCAAGAGCTGAGATCCTAACTTGCATGTCTCAAGCCCTGTATCCTAATGATCTTTCACTTCTACCTGACTGACTCTAAATAAAATGTCAAAGGTGGCTTACATTGATGAGTACAGCTTGAAAAGGCCATTGATTCATTGTGATGCTAGGCATAATAACTTGACAAATTCCAACTGTATCTTGACGACACTCAAAAAAGCTGATGGGCACTAGTGTTGACAGTTTTTTGGTAACTGCTCAAGAATAGGAGAACATGCATATTTTTTCAGAACGTTATAATGAATATGTACAAAATCCACATATTCTGAAGGATAATGATGGGATTTCAGTATGTTAGCAACCGAGAGTTGCCACAGAATTTAGCCTTTGATAATAGAAGTTAATGTGCAGCATTCCAGGGAGGCTTAAAACATTAGTACTTGCAGAAGTGCCCATCAGATTTCACAGTTCAGAGGACTAGCCTTTCATGCTGGCCTGTGTGTCTGCCTTCACCAACGCGGGAGAGAGGCCGACTCAGATGCTCAGAGGTCTGCTTGGAATGCCCTTTTGACTCAAAGAGACCATGTGGCCCACGTGCCTTAAAGGACTGTGGCTGAAGACCAAAATAGTGTTCCAAGGGCATCTTTACCAAAATTTCACAAACCCAACCAAAAGTGTGTACCTTGGCCATTTAAAATTCTCACTTAGAATCCAGAATACCTTTTCAGTTTCCCAGAGAATTCACTTTTGCCATTATTTCCTCCTAAGACTGGGGTCTGTGTTTCTATCAGTTTAACCCTAGCCAGACACTGTGGTTTGTCCTTACTAAGGCTCAGGAAGTGGGTGCTGGGTTAATAAATGGTCGAGGTCAGAGGTCACAGCCGTGCCCTGCATTCCAGCTCCTAGTCCTGGCTCTTTCCAGAACTTCAAGCTGCAGTCATGGTTTGAACACAGGTGTGAATGGTTGTGTTTGTGTATTTACAAGGGAGAGTGTGCTTGTGTGGGGTCTGTGTATGTGGATGTGTTGTATAGGCTTGTGAAAGAGAGTGTATGTTTTTATTTGGATGCGGCAGTGTGTGTGTGTGTGTGTGTGTGTGTGTGTGTGTGTGTGTGTGTGTTGCCTATATCTCTGTAGTATATGTTAACATTTTTCCATCATGTGACAGATGAGCACATCAGTTCCCCTAATTTATTTATTAAAGCCTTATAACTCGGTAAGAGGGAATCACACTACGAATGTCTGAAATGTTTGAATGGTTTTGTTTGCTATCTTAGTTGGTAAATGAGAGTTTATTGGAACAGTTGCTTACATGCATTTTTTCCCATCACTAACATTCTGACTTTTTGACATTGAACCAAGAGTCGAGTGACTTGCTGAATGGATTTCTCTGTGACAGAAAGCAAAGTGTAGTGGCTGCAGTCCCCAGCAGTTCTTAGTTGCCAGCTTTCACGTTTGAGAATGCTGGGTCCCACTTTTTCTGAGCAGATTTGTGCCTGCTCAACCATCGAGGGGTCTGCACGTGACCTTTCTGTTGGTAGGTCTGTCTGTGTTAGATTTTCAAACATGATTAGGGATTAAGTAAGATATACCCAGGAAATAATATTCAGACATGAGAGAGTTTATGTTTGTGGCTTACAGTGGAAGCTCATGATGCCCATTTTGGTTGAATCGCAAAGGAGCAGGGCCAGCAAGGTGACTCACCAGGCTTTGTGTGGGCGGGGACAGTTTCTGTTCTGGGCTTTTAGATGACCCTTAAGAATGGAAATGTTGGCTAATGTTAGGACTTATTATTCAGTTATCTCTCCAATCTTTGGAGGCCAGCAAATTGTTTGCTTCTGGCCAGAATCCCTTCCTTAAAGTGCCCAGACAATAGCTGTGTAGCCTGTTTCACTGCATTAAGACAAGCTTTGGGGAGTAGAGGATTCTAAACTCCTCTTCCAAGGGAGCAAAGGAGGAAAATGGTTTAAGCTAATTTATGAGAAAAGAGAAGCTGGTCTATACGAGATTCTCACAGTACATCAGTTTCTCCATTAGGACTGATTTTGCACGCAGGGGGCATTTAGAGGCATGTTTGTGATGCTGGGCATGGTGCTGCTGGGATTTACTGGGGGAAAGCCAGGGATGCTACACAAGAACCTTTCTCCCCAAGAATGTATCTGGTCCTAAATACCTGTGGTGTCAGGGTTGAGAAAATGCCGTTTTAAAAACTACTATAGTCCCCTCACTTATCCACACTTTTGCTCTCCATGGTTTCAGTTCCCAAAGTCAAGTACAGTCTGTTTAAGCTTCAGGCCACTCTTTGTAGCATGATGAAGTCTAGGTGCCATCCAGCCGCTTCCTCCTCTGCTGTCATCTGTGGGTTAGCACTGCCCTCACTGCACACCCTGGACACCTATCAGATGTGCATAGAGAAAAAGATAGCAATACACAGTTTGGTACTGTCTGAGGTTTCAGGGTTCCACGGAAGTCTTAAACATGGCCGTGTGGATAAGAGGGACAGGGGATGCTTCTGTAATTTGGAAATATGTATGACTGTTTGGATGGTTCCAGAAACTGTAAACATGAACCCTGCTGTTTTTAGACTTGTCTTTCCCTCCTTTGGAGCGGTAACACACCATGATTTGTGGAGAAGATGATCACACCAGAGGTTTTAGGCCTTGTGATGACTCAGCTCACTTGTCATTGCTATGTACTGTTGGGTTGGAACTGACCCACAGCTGACCCTTCAGCAGGTTTTCAGAGGCACAGGAGGAGACTGCTCAGCCTTCTGTGGAATAGCTGGTGGATTCAAACCATGTGCCTTTAGATTGGCAGCACTTCTCTTTACCATTGAACCACCAGAGCTCCCTCAACTTGCTTATAGTCACTATCTTTGTGACAAGGGCCCACAGAACTAAACATGTGAAATGCTTGAGACCCACACCCACACTACTCGCTTGCTTTCATTTGAGTCGATAGATTAGATAGATTGTATGTGTTGGTGTGTCCAGGATTCAGAAGGAATTCGCAGCCAGAGAGAACAAGTGCAGAAGCGTGGCAGAGTTGAGGTTTTTTTGTTTGATTTGTTGGTTGGCTTTTTTAGTAGAAAAGTTCAAGACATAGACTAAACTCTGCTCATTAATTTTAGAGATGAAATTAATAGTTCTCATGTAATTCTTACTCAGTAGAAAATTTCTTAGGGTTTTTGTTGTTCTTTTAGGATTTTGGCTTTCAACAGCAATTCCTGCTCTCAGAGTTCTGGTGGCTTCTTGTTATGTGCTGTTGAGTTACTGGCAACTCATAGTGACTCTATGTACAGTAGCCCTGAAACTTACTTTATCATGAGTCAACCTTACTGCCTCTAACACACCTACCCTGACTACCCTAGTCACTGAATCAGTCCATCTCATCCAGGCTCTTCCTCCCTTGTACTGTCCGTCCACCCTCCCAGGCATGATGTTCCTCTCCAAGAACTGGTCCCTTCTTGTAATATGCCCAAATTATGTCAGACAAAGCCTCAAAATCCTTGCCTCCAAGGAACAGCCTAGTTTCACCCTCTCCCAGATGAACCTGTATGTTTTCCTGGAAACCCATAGTATGTTGAATACCCTTCTCCAACAACAAAGCTCAAAGGCATCAATTCTCCTATCATCCCTAGTCATTGTCCAGCTTTCTAATGCATAGCAAGTAATAACGAATATTATGGCCTGGATTGGCTGTACCTTAGTCGCTAGACTGATATAGTTGCTCTTCAGTACTCTGGAGAGGTCTCTGACAACAGACTTTCCCAATGCAGTTCATCTTTTGATTTCTTGGCTTCTGGTACCAAGAGTGTTGATTGTGGAGCCAAGCAAACTAAAGTTGTTAGAAATCTCAGTTTCTTCACTCTGTATCAAGCTCTTCAAGTCTTCCTCAGTTTCAGCAAGCAGAGTTGTGTCATCTGCATAGCTCAGCTTGTTGATGAATCTTCTTCCAATCCTGATGCCACATTCCTCCTCATAGAGCCCAGCCTCCCAGATGATCTGTTCTGCATGTAGATTGAAAAGGTATGGTGACAAGTCACATCCGTGGCTTACACTCTT